AGAGATGGAAATTAGTCTCAACCAGAATTTCATTACCCAGAGGTGACCATCATTAGGAATTGAGGTATATCTTCTAGCCTTTTTTCTATAAACATTTCTAGAGCGAAACTGAACTGTACTGTATATTTAATTTTACAGTCAGCTTTATGTCTTTAATTTCTATAAGACTCCCTTTGTGTGTTGAAGTAGCTGAAACAACATCATTTTGAATGAACTTACGATATTCCACAGGGAAGGTGCCACAACTGATTTGACCATTTCTCCAGTTTGAGGTACTTAGGTGATTTCTAGTTGTTCATGGTTATAAATGTGAACTGGTCCTTAAAGGACGTGGGTACAGTTATGCCAAATGGTAGTGGCCTTCAGAAGTGCCCTGAGCGGGCACATAGGCAGAGGCCAGGTGGGGAGCAAGACAAATCAGGAGGACTGGGGCACAGCAAGAGTGTTTGCAAGGGACAGTGGCAAATGGAGCCTGCAGAGTGTCCAATGGGAAAGTCAGAGGCTGAAGCTGCTGTGGGGAGCAAGATTTTAGAGGCGTTGAGTCAGGCAGGGAAGACAAAGAGAACAGCAAGGAGGCTACTGTAAACAAACAAAAGTCCAGGAAGAAATGATGAACATTAGTCAAAGGCTGTGGAAATACAGAGGAGGACCAATCCAAAATAGTAAAGATGGGTAGCACCAAGTATCTGGTTTATTGTTAAGCAATATGCATTTTGAATAGTAAATGGTTAATTTTTTTCTTTCAGTCCCTCTGATTAAAGATTAACAATGGCGATTACTCAGCAAAACAAAAGTTTAAAAATGTATTATGCAAATTTCCCAAAGCTAAATAAATATTTTTGAAAATCAAATAATTAAACTTTCAAATGATGAGTTTTTGGTGCCATTGCAGCATGTATATGTTGGAGCTGATAAAGCTTCAAGTTTAGAGTAACTCTGTAGTACCTTTACATCCTCACAAAACCCTGTGCACTAGGAATTCTTGTCCCCTTCTTGCATCTGAGGACACTGAGTGAGGCACAGAGAAACGGAATTCACGTGCAGGCAGCTGGCTCCACAGCCTCTACTCCTCACCTCTGCAGGTTCTGCGGACTTGGGAGGAAAGATGAATTGAATGGGGAACATGATGGGATGTATTAGGCCAAGATGCTACTTGGCGTAGGGGTGGAGCTACCTGGCAAAAAAGTAGAGATGCCAGTCTGGAACTTGAAAGAGATTTTGAGTCAGTGAGCCCAGCAGTAGATGAAATCACTAAAGTAGCCTGTGAAAATGGAGCATTTAAATTGGTAAAAATTATACAAGGCAGTGAACCCTAACACCCCAGACCAAGGCCATCCTCCCTTTTTCCCAAAGCTGAAATGGTCCCCCCTGGGATAATTCCCTTTGCCCTCTTCTGCCTGGGGGCCCTTTCTTGGGGTTTGGTTTCCGTTGAAAGTTAATAGGTCCTTAAAAAGTCAACCTGTATGCAGTATATGTCGTTATATACAACATTCCCATCACAACATCATCTTTAAACCACCTCTCCCAGAGTCTGCTCCCTCCTCCCATCTCCTCCTTTCCTTTCTGATCACTGGGACTCCAGAATATCTGTGCTAAAAGAAGAAAGCATGTCTGCTTTGAAAGGAGGAAGGCAACCTACATCCCTGAGCTCCTCCTCTGTGCCAGGCCGTATGCCAGTCACTGCAATTAAATGATGGAACATATCTGCCCCTGACTTCAAGGAACTCCCAGACTGAGGCAGAAATGGACCCACAAAATGAACACTTCAGTATAGTATAGCTGTACAATGAGGCGCCACACCAAGGAGGGCACCTAGCCCAGGGTGGCGGGAGCAGACGGGTAGTCAAAGAGGCTAGTGAGGCCTGGTGATAGCAATGCCCATTGCAGCCTGGCACTCAGAGGAGCAGAGCCCCACTGTGTCATGCCAGGCTGTGCACTTAAAGCCCTGCACACACAGGTCATACCTCTCCTGTCCCTCTCTCCCTCCCTCAGGTCCAGCTGGGTCCCATTCACAGATGCCTGGTGGAAGATTTTCTTCTCCATTCTCAAAGTCACTGGAAGCCTGAAGGAGTTGGACCTGAGTGGAAACTTCCTGAGCTGCTCTGCAGTACAGAGTCTTTGTGAGGCCCTGAAATGTCTTCACTGCCACCTGGAGACCCTGAGGTGAGTCTGGTCTGGGTTCTGTTCTAAAAAACAAGGATGGGCCGGCCGAGTGGCTCAGTTGGTTAAGAGCTCACTCAAGAGTGCGAGGTCTGAGCAACACAGTCGCCAGTTCGATTCCAGGCCCAAGCTGAGCTGCCGCTGAGCTGCCAACAGGTGGCAGAATGGCTCAGCTAAAAAAAATTTTTTTTTAAAGGATGGACAAGAGACGCAAGATAGAAGCTGTTTCTAGGGTGGGTGATTGGTCTTTATACTCAACAAATATTCATTGAGTACCTCTCTGGCCATGCACCATGCCAGGGGCCAGTGCTGCTATTTCGAGCTAACACAGACAGGATTCTTTTATCATAGAGCTTTCAAGAGAGTGACATTAACCACACAAATGTATAATTAGGGGCCCAGATAGGGGCCTCCAGTGGAAAATTTCCTTAGGAAAGTGAAGATTGAGGGACATCAGAATAATATTGAGGATTTGCCGAAGTGAAACAGGAGAGAAGAAAATCCCAGGCAGAGGGAACAGCATATACAAAGGTCCTATGGCAGGAGGAAGGATGAACAGTCTTGGAATTGAAAGCAGGCCAGTGAAACCAGAGGATGGAGACAAAAGGTGCAAAATGAAGCTACCGATATCAGCAGGAGCCAGACCATGCAAGGTCTCATGGGCCCTGTGAAAATGTCAGGG